TGTTATAATTTAAAATGTAATATATCTTCTTTATTAGCATATTAAAATTTTCAGATTTTTATTAATTATCATAGATTTAAATAATTATTAAACAGCACATCGTTCTGTGATATACAAAATAAAAAAAAAAGTTTTTATAAACATGAATCCAAAAATACTTTCCCTTCAAGTTATAGTTCCCTAAAATTGGAGGAAAAAATCGAAAAACGGATTGTAATTCTTGGAGACTTTCACTTCTCGATCTGTGAAACAGTCTCCTACAATACATACCTATATTTTTCGATTTTTTTCACCCATTTTTAAGGGGGCTGTGACTCGGAAAAACATTTTTGGACCCATGTTTATATAGGACTCTTTTTTATATTTTGACTGCTAGAGAATACACTCTTAAAATCTCTGACACAGTTTTGGAAATACCCTGTATACAGGAAATGTTTGAATTATTCGACTGTTGCGCGGCTTAATTTTTGGAGCGTTACAATTCGAGCTGACTTGGTTGTAACAAGGCACCAGGGATCATAGATCTTCTCTTCTTCTCGTGATATATCTTCCTCTTTTTTTCAACAGGTCGTGGTCATCGCGTCACGCCAAGTGAATTGCGCTTCGCTTCTCGCTCTGATACCTTCTACAGTTTAGCATTGATCTTGAACTCTTTTGTACAGAGATTTCCGAACCCGCGCGTTAAAACTCGTGATCATCTTTAAACGATATCTCCGATTAGTCTCGACGAGCTGAATAATTCTTCTAAACCGAACCGAATCCATATATTTTGCATAGATTATTTTAAATTTCCCCTAGTTATATTTATTTGTTCGATTTCGCAGGTGAAGCGCGCGAGAATAATTTTCTATTTCACCCCTTTAAATATGTATGCGTAGTTATTTAATGGCCGTAACACATGGAATGTTATCCGCATCTACAAACAGAATTTTAATCGGCACACATAATATCTAACTTCTTTTCACATTATTTTTCTTTTTAATCACAATCTGTTGATTCATCTTCTCTATATAAATATTGAACGTTTTGAGAAGTATTAAATAATAACAAAAGCCAAGTGTTGCGCGATCATATTTTGAGATATGGCTCTACTTGGAACATATAGCACGAGAATACCGAGACGCGCCCTAACCAGACGCGCGTACCGTCTATGTAAATATGTAAATACGTATAAACCGAGGCGGGAAACAGCCGGAACCCTCTCTCCGCTTCTTTCGGCAAAACGAGAACAGGTTCCCGCGCGACGGCTTTTCTAAAATCTCCGGAATGTATCGCCTTCGGGTGGATCTTCCCGTCCGCAGGTAGTTGATTTAGGATTTGCCTATACGCGATAATTACAGGGAAAGCCATTAAGAGAGCGAGAATTAATTATAATGCCTTTTACGAATCTTCTAACGCGCAGAGAATTTTCTCTTAGAATTTATATCCTGAAAATCGTACTACTTAATCATAGGACAATATATGATATTGGAAAAATTACAAAAAATATTAAGGTGTAAATTAGTAAATTAGTATTAATTAATACACCGAAAAAATTATTAAATTAATTTAAAATATTTATTTTAATACTGCCTAATAAGTCATTTATTTGAAACAAATAAATATTTATTTGTTTTGAAAAGGATTTTCTTAATTATATCAAATAATTACTTTTCACATCAAATCAATATTATTAGTTTCAAATAAATTATTTATTTAGCAATATTGAAATAAATATTTACTCGAATTCAGTAAATTTTTTCATCGGTATATTAATTAATTTTATCTATGTATAATATTAATAATTTTATTATGCGTAATATTAATTAATTTTATTATGTAAATAGTACATTTTATTATGTACATAGTAAAATTAATCGAACATATTTTATATCTTATTATAGATATTAATATTTTATTATTGCGGTAAATATTAATCAGAGAAATTCTTATAAAATTCTCCATGATTACTATGATTTTCAGAATAAATTCTAAGAAAAAATTATATCTCTGTATATACGTATATTATCTCTTCTTACTTTTACATCATTGCCAGAGGGAAATGTAAAATGTGTTGCAAGGAAAAAAAGTGATCATTTCATTTATTTGATATGACATTTTCTCCATTATTTTCTCTAGTTTTATACTTTCGAATTCTTCGTCTAGATAGGTCTCAGAATTTTTCATCTGCAAGTTTTTAAAATTCCAAATTTTGAAGCTGAAATAATCTTTTTATTAGGATATTTACGTCTTGAAAAAGCGACGCTAAAAAGTTGTATATCCTTGAATCCACGTATTCGCAAGATCACTCATCACTATTCAAGTATGATTTCATTTCTGGAATTGCGCAATATATTCAGATTTCACAAATAACAAATACACATACATATTCATATTATAGTACGGATAATCAGCTTTCGATTTCTGATGTGTAATTCGAGAATCACTTCTGAATAGAGTTAGAAATCGCGGCATCCTTGGACACCCGGTATTTCCCGGTCGTCTCCGTCTAGTTCGTTTTTCCCTGAGTAATTCTCTGAAACTCTCCTTTTCCTTTTATTTTTCTCTCCTCTCTGGCGATGCACCTTGCACCATAAAGTCCGACTCCTCGGCGTCATCAGTACGGCTTGTGGCAATGTAAAGTGGCCGTGTATAAGCCGAGGCACGGTGCGTAAGACAGATGTTGTTCTAGAGGAGCAAATAAAATCAAGGGAAAAGGAAGCGAGACGATTACGACGACGACAACGACAGTCAACCGTTCTGTTCCATTACCCCGTTGCATCTCGTTCGAGTAAAAGCGAGAAACTCGGCCGAGAGATCACCGTGAATTTTGCGCGTGAAATGCAACATTTCGCGAAAGGATGGAAAAAATCCTTATTTAAGCATATATACAGACGGACGAAAACACGTGTCTCTTCGACATTTTTTCTCTGGTAAAATTACAAAAATTCGTGTAGAAAATATGCACATATTTATGTATTTAAACGTTTCGTTTTCAAACTGCTCTTTTTTACAAATCAATTTCCGTTCCTGCATTGCGCGCATAAAGAGGAATAAAAATCAATTAAAAATAAATAAATAAATAAATAAATAAAAATAAATCGATCAAAAGAACTGCTGATAAAACGCAATAGGGAATTGAAATTTTCACGTCGCGGCGGCGGCACTCACGGTGCCGTTAAGCAACGGTGCATCGCCTTCGCCGGTGCGCTGCATCGCGTTGCATAGCAGCGGAATTATTTGATGCGCGCAGAAGATTGTGAATAATCAACATCGAAAACAACTCTCCCGGCGAAATTGGCGCATATCGATTCAACGGAATGATAATTCCTTAGCGACGGAAGCGTTGAACGCATATATATGTGCATTTTGTCCGGTCAATGCTAGGCTGCACATTCCAAGTGCACTGCACTTTCTAGCGGTCGGCGATCCGGCGCGCGTCTTCCGGTCTTCGAACTTGGGAGGAATGACGCTAATTACGATTCAAAATATATCCGGTAATGATCGTGTAAAAGTGATCGATCGTTTTTTTCCTTCGAGAAAAATTGATGAACCCTCAACGGATGAGGAATCAATTTATTTGAGCGTTAATAAAGATAATTTAACGGCTATAAGAGAGTATTCATCGGTCGTTTTCCTCCTGCGTTTTTCTTAACGATCGGCGGATTAAGAATAGTATAATACATGCTCCTCTTACAGCTGCAAAGCGGCGGTCGTCTTATATATGTTAAGTTAACGGTATGGTAACGGTCGTACGCGGATGTTAACTGCGATATTAACTGCGCGATCCTTAATGCCGCCATAATCGTTGGCCCATTACTCAAATTACTTGCTCTTGCTATTAACCGTATGAGAGATGCAACGCCGCTGCAGTCAAACACATTTCGTTCTTCGATTAATTGAGAAGCGTATCCCGAAGGTCGACCGACCTTCCGATCAATCGAGCGATTGCCTTCTTGAATTCTTTATTATCACGTACAAAAGATATATTATAATTCTACACATATGTGTTCTATAATCCCTTCAATAACTCTCATTTCAATTTATCTTTATTATTATGACGCTCTGACATTTGAATTACAAGGATGCAAAACATGCGCATGAACGCTAAATCCTTTTTGACATTTGAAATTAATTATGTCACGTTTAATTAACCCATTTCTATTTTGTAGTGCATTATACATATATATACATATACATATATATATATATATATATATATATATGTATATATCCAACAATAGTTAGCAATACGCAACGCGATTCGATCTATACACGGGGAAAATTTTCTTTTAGAATTTCTTCTGAAAATTATGGTAAATATATATGGGACAATAAGGAAGAATTTTATAAGAGTTTCTCTGATGAAATATTTATCACAATAAAAAATAGTAAAATTAATCGAACATATTTTATATCTTATTATAGATATTAATATTTTATTATTGCGGTAAAAATATTAATCAGAGAAACTCGAATTTTATAAGAGTTTCTCTAATTAAATATTTCTCACAATAAAAAATATTAATACACATGTACATAATAAAATTAATCGAACATATTTTATATCTTATTGTGGTAGATATTAATATTTTTATTGTGGTAAAAATATTAATCAGAGAAACTCTAATTTTATAAGAGTTTCTCTGATGAAATATTTATCACAATAAAAAATATTAATACACAATAGGTACATAGTAAAATTAATCAAACATAAAATTCTTTCGCACGATTACCCTGACTTTCAGGGTAAATTCTAAGAGAAAAATATTCTCTCTGTAGAGATACACGCGTTAATATTTTAATCGATATAGGGAAAAGACGTAATCGCAACGTATCGAAACGATTATCCTATATCAGGCAAGGCAGCGTTCGCCAGGTTAATTGTACGAGGGTGAGATTTCAGGCTGCTTCCTGGCGGCGATCAGAAGGGTGGTGGCGCAGGCGCGAGACTTTCGCAATCCCTTGAGAGGGAAACTGACGTGGACTTCGGCGGCAATTTGCAGGGAGGAAGGACCAAAGTTTCCTCAGTGTTTTCGCGCGCGTCGAGCACTCGCGATCGTCGCGAGAATTTTCGCAAGGATGTACGCTCGCGAGATCTTCATTAAGGACTCGTCGACAAGTGCCGCGTCCTTCGAGGATACCTAATGAAAATTATTCGATCAGTGACGACACTAATTGTAGAGCGCGATTAATTAAATTTTATATAATGCGCGAGCATTATTATTGCTCGCTCAATTTAATTGTAAATCCCCGAGCGATCGAGGGATACGATTCAATAGCTTTTGAGCTTGACTGTCGTCATTTTAGTATTAGTTGAATATTAATTCGAATCAATGGCACATAAAGCCGGCGGTCTCGTGTGCTGGGTCGAGTTCGATATTTTTGTCCATCTTGGAGTGGGAAATTATATACCCCGATACATGATGTAAACACTCGATAAATTCTCTACCGGCGATCTTGGCAATACGTCAAACGAATTCCGTGAATTTTGCCTGCGATTCGAAATAAATTTATGCCCCGAAAGATAATTTCATTTATTTTCGAAATTTTCCAAGTGGTAGTATCAGTAAAATTGCAAGAAAAAAAACTGACTTTAATAATATTCTACATTAATTAAAATTTTTTGTAAATATATATTATAATTTATTTCTTCATTTCACCGAATGAGAAACAAGTCTCTGTTTCCTTCCCGAGGGTATAAAATATTTTGCGTACAGATTTTTCGAGTTGCACTAAAAAAATGTCTACTTGCGGATACGATTTTTCTCTATTAGCTTTTATAAACCGAATGAAATTCGAGATCGTCAGCACGCAACTGGGAAAACTGACAGATGCAAATATTTATAACAGTTGGCAAATATTTGTAACATTTCCAGCACGATGGTATGAAAGAATGAAATTGACCCTCGAATATAGCGCGGCTGTTTAGCGTCGCGCGGTTTCCGGGACCCGGTGAACGCGATCGATACCTTTATCGGAATCGCTGCGACCGGGCGTATGTAAAGAAGAAAGTGTCGGGGTAAAAAGTATGCAGCTACTTTCCAGCTTCATGGGTCGCCATACGAAGCGAGGAACTTCCTTAAAAAAAGGTACGTCGCGTCGCGTCGCGGATGAGCGCGCTCGCGTTCTCATGCTGGAGCCACGTGACATTAATTAGCTGGTTCAACACACGCACGGAAAGAGAGGAAAGACGGGAAGCGAAAATTTCACGCGTGAGAGATACGCAAAAAGATATCAGAATTAAGATTACGAGGACAACTTTTCTCTGACCTTCTTTCGCAAAAGGAAAAAAACCAGATTTATCGAGCAAACATTTCTTTTAATATGCCGCGACACCAAATTTTATATCAGATAAATAAACGTGTATTTATTTACTAAACGTGTGGAATAAAGAGATCTATATACACGGTTTCACTTATCACGCTTTGTTAGTTCACCTTCTTGGTAAACAGAAAAGAGGCTCAAGTTTGAAAACACATATAAGGATATAACTTGTATATTTGCGCTATATTTGAAAACTAGGTCCATGCGAATACATGAAATATCGCCAAGATTTTCCATCAATATATAACAAAATGAGTTCCAATTTCTCTCTCACGATTTGACTTTCGACGTTCGCGAGCAGTTTGCGTCATGCACATATGTTGTGTGTATAAATATCGTCCATATTAGTTCCATGTGACATGATAAGACCGATACACCATGTAGCTGTAGTAACGTTTGAGCAAAATTGTTGAGTTTCTCCGCACACGCGTGCAGAAACTATGTGGAACGCGGCGATAGAATATTAAGGTAAAGCAGGCGCATGATCTAATAACTTATTTGATCGATACCCTCGGAAGTGCCTATATAACATCAGCGTGAAGCAGTTACGCTCACGCGATGTGGATGCTTCGTGACCAGTTTTGTACGGTACGGCGATCATCGAGAGCATCGAAATTGCTTTTCGTGGAACCTCTATGGAGAGACGAACCCAACTTATCAAACAAACGCCCGATTTCGAGTTCTACTTCAATTCGCGTCGCGGACCTGGAATACCTTTTTCTCGCTCACTCAATTAACACGTAAGACGTACACGTGTGATATACATTTTTACGCAAGTTTCTAAATATAATTTTTATAGAGATTACATATATACGCACGTGGAGAAGGAGAGAGAGAGAGAGAGACTTGTGTTTATTTTATCGATTTTTATTCGTCAACACATATCGTAGGGCTACTTATTCCGACTTTGTTATCGTAACCGTATACGTTATTCGCGACACGCTAACGAATACTTTCGTTATATGTCGCGTTATATATATTCGAAACACGCGCGAAGAGAGCGTGATTCGCCAAATTCAATCTACGGAAGTAATTACTCTTGGCACACAGTTGGACGCGACGTTCAACCACATGAAAGGTTGCAACGTTATTCCACCCCTGTATGTGCCTCCATAATGTCAAGGTCGTGTTCTCAATTGTCGTTCTTATCCTCCTTAGTTTGATTTGTCGTGTTGAATCAATCGCTACATGTTGCGACTGCAATATTGAATTGATGTGGACACTGCCAATCATATATATAAATCATTTATTCGCTGGCTACAAATTTTAATCAACTGTTTCTGAGGTATCAAAAATGAGCCTCTTTTTTCCAGGAAGTCCTTAGAGATGTCTAATAATAAACTTTTTCTTTTTCAATGGCAGCTTAATGAGCTGTTTCTGAAATATTAAAAATATCCAGAATCTCCGTTTCGAGGAAGACCTCAGAGAGATCTGATGAGAGATCAACTTTTTTCTTGTTCAATGGCAGCTTAATGAACTGTTTCTGAAATATCAAAAATGTCCAGAGTCTCTTTTCTAGAAAGATCTCAGAGGTCTAATGAATAGCTTTTTCTTTTCTTCTTCAATAACAGCGTCAAGCAAACTTTTCCATTCAAGGATATCCTTTCGTGTAGTTTTATTAAGTATAAAGTATATTTACAGAATAAATCAGTAGAAACGTGATTCGAAGGGCCGAGGAAAAACGATCGTTAAGCGAGACAGTTAGCTAAATAAATGGCCGGAAGATTTCCGCGGGGTACGTCGCGTGGATGCATTTCTCGGAGTGCATGTATGCACTTCTCCGCGGTAATAATTCTTAGGCGTGACACTTGTCCTAGCTCCTTTATCGGTGCACTGATTGATATGCACCGCGCACCCTATCCGTAGAATTGTAAATTTATTATAGACTATAGATCACTAAAGTGTAGGTTCACTGATCGCTGACTGTAGTTCCGCTTGAATTAAATAAAATTCAATTAACCCTCGGAACAGGCAGTAGAGACTCAAAGAACGTCACGATAAAAAGAATAAACTATGAGAAAAGATCAATAAAAATAATGGGATACATAAGCTCATCATCTTTGCTTTAATTATTAAAATATATAATGATTACGCATATAAAATAAATGCTAAGATTATCCTCTAGTTCTATAATCTATAATCTACATATATATATATATATATATATATATATATATATATATAATTTCCTTCCTCTGTCTGCCTGTCTGACCGTGATTTACTTCCACATTTATGGACCGATTTTCATGAAACCGGTACTAAAATTTTTCTTATTTTCCGGGTTTTTTGTTTTGTTCTTTTTTTTTAAATTTAATGTCAATAAGCACCCAATTCTGTCTCTTTGGAATCTAAAATAAAACAGAAATGAGAAAAGAAACGGAAACAAAACGTAACATTAGAAACATTTCGGTATACCAATTTCATAAAGATCGATCCCCAAATGTAGAATTAATTCGCGGTCAAGCAGACAGAACATCTAATTTTCTCTGTAAAAAGCCACGTAAGATCACCACTCTCCGAGGAAGGAGGAAAATTTGTTTACCTGTTTCGCGAAAATCGATCTATAAATGTACGAGTAATTCATCGATTAAACAGAGAAGAATAAGAGATATAAATAAAAAAGAAGGTTATACACCGCTACTCGCGCGGGCCGAAACGCTAGTTAAGCAATAATAAAATCCTTCGCGTAAAATTAGCAGCCATTAGTAGAAATTTAGACATCACTGCAAGTTAAGATCTACCTTCTTTCCACGTAGTTTCCTAGCGCTAAACGGAGTCGTTTAATTCCCACTTTATGTTCATCTCAACTGCACTCTGAATTGCGCTTAAATTTTCTCCACGGTGTTATGCGCGCACATAACATCTCCAACATTGAATGTATATTTTCTGTTCTTCAGGAAAGCGCGAATCCAACGGAGGCGGGAGTCCTGCTGGTAATTGGCCGTCTTCGACGGGGGTCCAGTCAGACCCCTTAACAGTACCGGTGCGTCGGGGAGCACCAACATGACACCTGACGATCCCGCGCCCGACGAAGAATTCGCCCTCGCGATCGCACAAAAAGCACAGGTAAGCACTGCTTGTCGAAGGGAAGAGAGCTTTTTGCTCGGTCAAGCTGAATAATAAATTCTTGATAGCGGGACAATATATATGTCGCTCTCCTGCCGAGTCATTTCCTCGCCGGAGTTGAGAAATATAGGCCACGATAAATGTTTCCTCGCACCTTCTCGCACCTTTCTCTCTCTCTCTTTCCGTGCATACCTTAAGTCGAAACCTTTTATAAACTCGTTAGTATGCAAATGGCAGTTCTGAGAAAAAAATTATTCTCCGAGTTTGTCCTTAAAAATGTATCGAAACACTGAAGAACTGGAGCTAGATTGGGTTTTATCGGGGAAAGATTGAATTGAACCAACACGAGGAGGGAAATTAAAAATCAAATTATTATTGAAAAATAATTAATTAAAGTTATTAATTGACATTTATTTGACGTCGCGTTGAAAATGTCAATTAGAATTTTTAATTAAAATTCAATCAAGAGTTCGTATAGGGGGAGAAAAAAATTAGGACAAGCGCTACAAAGGTATAATAATCGCGTTGAAATGCTCGCGTATATGAGACTAACTCGGATATACGTACTATAATTTCTCCCGTGGAATGTCCCTCGAGCTCAGGTAACCTATGTAATTTCAATGGCCAGTGTCCCCGCGTGCATACGGCGGATATATTTTTCAAAGGAACCTACGCGAGCTGAATCGTCAATTCCGTAAAAGCGACCGTGAAGCACAATGCTCCGTGAAGAAGAGAGGAGCCGGAACGACGCGATGCGATGTCCCGCGTTCAAGCGTGTTCGCGATGCATACAACGTACGCATCGTTGAACGCTCGCTGACGTCGTTATGGCTATTGTCGTGGAACTCAACGATTTTTTTAACGTTCGCTTTTGTGGGTTTTCAAGTCGGCCTATTTAAAGCCTCGAGTGGCTCGTTCGCGGGAAAATATGTGACGATATTTATTCAGCCGATTTCTCCCTCTCATAATCCCAGGGATTATTTGTCGATTTACCCTATTCCGATATTTTTATTTTAATAGAATCTATGTATCTGTGTTATTCGTGTGACTGAGAAATCAATTGTGATTTGCGAGATTTCGCAAAAAAGTAGAATCAGTTGGAAAATGAAACAATACGAAAAGAAATCTCGTATTTTTATGAGGAAAAAAAGAAGTACAATGAACTGGGGAAACTTATAAGAATTGTAATTGAAATAAATTTAAATGTATTTTTTGCTTATTGAATTTGCAGTAATTCCATATGTAGTTTCGTTTCGTTGTTCGTGTTTCACGTTTCGTGTTGATCGAATTGAATTTTGAGAAGAAGAAATTTCTTTCATGCATGGACCGTGTCTGAAACTGCATAAACATTGTTTACATACCATATAATGATTACCTTGCGGAATATATAAATCATCCTGGAATTTTATTGATCTTAATTTTAACATAACTTTAAATATAATTTTCATAATTTTTTGATAAATTTAAATTTTTCTCAGAAAATTTCGTTAATAAATTCCCAAATAAAATTTTGAGAAAGTTAAATTTCTTTAAGGAATTGAGTGAAACTAATGAGACTTTGTTGCTCGTTTGTAGTCCCAAATTTTGCCGCTTCGAAGATACGTCTATTAAAATAGAATTTATCGTAAGTTTTGTGGTCTAATTAATTCTCTAGATATAATTTAAATACTCTAATAATTTTAATATTATTATTGTATTATGGATATTATAATTAATTATCACGGTTCTTTGTTCTTCGAAATGTTCTATGGCATTTTATTTTATTAAAAAAAATCAATTTTTTCAATTAGATAAGAAAATAGATAAAAGATGAATAATTAAATACCTCGAAGCCTTTATGAAAATTTATGGATGCAGAACTGAAATTATAATGTGGGAAGTCATTGAAGTAATACTTTCCGGCATGGAACTCGTGGGATTTCTCGAGCGATCTTTATCTCGCACTCTTTTCTAGTTACTCTACCGAGAGTAATTAACACTCTACTTGAAAACAGAATCTTTCAAGATAAATTTCGAACACGTGCTGTATTCGAAAGAAGCCGATCGCGTTTAAAAACGTTCATTTTTTTCATACACATAAAGATTTCAACATAAGTGTTTGCGAGATGCAAGCGATCTTACTGAATATACAAACTTATCACATCGCCGCAGTATTTACCTCATTATGATCTAATTAATGCAAATAAATCGTAGAAAGTGCCTCTTTCTTCGTAGATAAGGCAATTTATCTCAAAGAAATCGATGCATCTCGACTCGGTTTTTTCACACGGGGCATGTCTCGCGCACAGAATCTCTTCTACAATTAAGTCGCTTCTCTGCGCGTAAACGTCATAAATTATGATGCAAGAGTAAAATAATCTCGCCGATGATATTTTTCGCCGTAATTTCGTAAATGGGAAAAATACAGCTTGCGACGAGAAATCCGGCTCTCTCGGAATATTTATGAGAGCCTCTCTTAGCATTGGACAACTTTCCAATTAATGAAACGTTACGTTCTTGACGGAACAGGTTGAATTACTATTGCGTAAGGGGCGCATGTTGCGCGCGACAGCGATCTCGCGACCTCGAGAGGATATCGAGAGGTGCGTCGAGGTACCTCATTGCGTTAATTTCGCTCTAGTTAATTTTAAGAGCGGAGCTCGCTCAACTCGCTTCAGAGACATGAAATAAATTCTGCGAAAATAACATCTTCGAGAGCAGAAAAAAATCGCATATCTACATTACCTCTTACATTATAAATTAAAAACATTTCGCCGCGGAACGTCTTCATTATTATACTTGTTAATCATGTAATATTATAATATGATATATTGGATATCGAAAATTATTAGAGCGTCTTGAAGGATTAATTAGACCAGTTTACGATAAATTTTTCCTTAACGGAAATATCTCTCCTTTCTCAGGTGACATTTATTATCATATTTCGGTATATATGATGCTATTCGAATATGCTTTTATTCGATATCAAGTCATATTTTCTTTTCTTATCCTCACCGAAAGAACTATATAAAATTCCATAAAAAACGAATCATAAAGCCTTTTATTTCTTACGCTTACGATTTATTATTCAAGCACGAGGTTAATGACGCTTTTCGATGACGTCAGAGAAATTTTTTCGACGTTACACGCGACGTCGCGTGTATAAGCACGCAGGGATCATGTCCTACATCCTAGCAAGACGAAGATACGACATCTCGAATGTGTCGCGTGACATTGCTTTCACTTCGCAAATCTGAGGACAAAAATATTTTCCGAGAATATTATTCTGAAATTGCGATATACATATGTGCACGGTTTTATCATCCCAAGGTATAATTACTGTTAATGATATGCTGCGAATAAATGTACGGACGGACTGTCATTGCAAAGTTTCTTTCTCATATCGCTAATGTCTCTTTATGTTGCAATTGAATACGACAAGAATGCACCTATAGTGCACCACGTGTCTGTATTTAGTTCACTAAATAAAGAATATACGAAACGGAAAACAACAAGAAGAAATTATATTTTACAATTTCGCGGATAGCTTTTGTAAAATTGAAATAAGAAAAGTATGTGCATTTTATAATAAAGAATTAATTAATTGCGTCTACATTAAATACGATTCATCCACATATGTATATCTTTTTTTTAATATATACTTTTTAATTTGTTTTTAACATTTTACAACTGTTTCTCCTTTTACATTTTAGAACGACGTAAAAGAAGAACACATAATTACTTGATTATTGACTGTGAATTTAAATTCGAAAATGTTAAATATGCATATAGGATATATATATATATATGTGTGTGTGTGTGTGTGTTTTATTACCGAGACAAAAGTAATATTCTCGAATTAGAGATCGAACGCAATGAAAATAATTCTAAATGAATTCGCTATAATATAAGAATGAAAATGGTTCTAATAGCAAGGCCATGATAAAATATAAAATTAATCAAATGTTTTTGCACGTCACGCGCATTATCAAAATTAATTATCTCATTATTAAGCGACAGAATAATTATAGAATTGATTCGATCGTCATTAACATCGATGTTAATACAACGCGCATTTCGAGCGCGTTACGCTCGACACTCGATTATCGCCGAATTAATGCGACGCATGCGACCGGGACGGTCCCATCAGGGCTCTCATATTTATTTGATGTATGCAAATGCATGCGCGCACGAATGCACCGGATAAAATGTATCTCTTTGCAGAGAGACGCAGAGGCAATCCGTACCGCTCTGTATCTCGGAGTGGCACTCGCGATCACCTGGATAATAGGAGCGGCGGGACTCTCGTTGGCGTGGCTGGTTCTGGTCTTGGCATTGGCTGCGACCGTCGTTAAGGCAAGAGTGTCCCGGCTTCTTCAGACGGAATTGCAACATGAATTGGCCAGGTTACGTAGGAGACGGGCTTTGTACAAGGATGAGACCGCCGAGTGGCTCAGCCTGCTCCTCAATAAGTGGCAAGTACCGTTTTCAACAGTTATCGATGACTCGAGAAAGGCTAATTGCGAAAAAGGGACACCTGGTATATGTTAATGTACCATCTGCTGTATCCTTTGTTAAGACGTGTCACTTATTTGAGTTGCCTCCAAAAGCGTATAATTATTGTTGAGTCAGTTATATTGTACAAAGAAATTCGTATCTACGTCTTTTTATTACTGGCACACATTTTTGATAGAAAAACCAACTATTTAAATATAAAGTGATATTTAATTGTTATATCATTTTATATATTAAATTGTCCTTATTTTAAAAATTATAAAATATTTTCAAAAGAGAATTTTAGAAATGCAACGAAAAATGTAATAAAATATATACATTGTTATTTTCTTATACATATACTTATAAATTATTTTTCGTATAGCTACCGTAGAAGCTGTAATATACACTCTCAATATATCTAAATCATACACATATATATTTTATATAATATATTATAATTTATAATACACGCATATCGCGATTGTCCTCGTATCGGATGGGTGAATGAACTTCTCTCTCGTTTAAGAACGAGCACTACATATATTGTAAACATACCACATTCCTACCGCACGTGATGTATGTATAGATGTAGCCTTTCACGTTTCTGTTCCTCGTGCCGCGAATAAAATCCTTGTCCGTCGTTGCTGCTGACATATGTCGAACGAAATGATTTGTCGATTCTAAAATTGACGTGATTAAATAAATCATCAGTAAAATATTATAATGGATTCTAAAAATCATTGCCAGCTGGATTCCACATCAATTTTAATCAACTACAGACGTAAAGAGAAAATGAATATAATTATATACATAAACTTGTTATTTAAAATTGCAAAACATATATTTTTAACAATTAACTACTGACTACTTGTTGGAAATAAAAATGTTAATAAAAAGATGGTCTAATAATGAAAACGGAAACGTACAAATAAATTTATGATGATTAACTCTAAAAATTGCGCATTAATTATCGCGCGTGACTTCTAATTAGGCTGTCCTTTCACATTCTTTTTAGTAAAAGGCTGTCAAGATTTCAAAATTTTGAAGGTATTTATTTAGAGAAAAATATATACATATACGTATAATTGTGTGCACGTTTAAGAGCAATTATTTTCACGCACGACTCGTTTCCTCGTTTGTCAGTGGCTGAAAACGACTAATGCGGCAGGCGGGAATAGGCGAGGAAAGAGTGCTACTTATTTGGATAGTTGATAGACCTGTTCGAGGCATTCCTGAACTGCCGGCTCGGGGTTCTCACCGAGTGGCGAGGATATCTACATGAGGGAAAAAGCGATGAATTCAGCGCGACACGTTATATACATGCATTGTACGCGCATAAAGGAAACAAATGTGGAGGACAGAGACGGTGCGGAGCGATCGCATCGGCGTTTATTTTATCATGTAGAAAATGTACGAACGTACGAAAGAATTTCTATAGAATCGAACGTTTCATAAAAATTCCGTAGAATCCAAAGAGCATGTACAATAGACCTTATTTCCGTACACGTGCGACAATGTTCTGAAACAAACATGAAATAGTACCAAAATTTCGTTTCAATTCTTTGATTCGAAGAAAATAGTAATGATATGAAATTAAAAATATAAATAATAATTTTTAAAAATTATAAAATATATAAATATTTATTGTAATAATTATATTTAAGAGAAAAGAAGAAAATATATATGATATTCTAATTTATATTTTATGAGAGAATTTACGATGAAAAACGTGAAGACATCAAAATTGAAAATGACAAGATGTTATCACTGTATCCTAAAAAATGACAAGTGCGTGGGCACGTGTTAATCCATTCATCTGCAATCTCGTTTTTAATCTATTCATAAAAACCCGCGTGGGCTGTCGAGCATTATATACGAATCGACTCGTTGTCGATGGGATGTCAATTAGAGATAAACTCTGAAAATAACCCACTTCTCATGATACCAAACCACATTACAAGTACACATTTTTCATGCTCGAAAGAGCGCTTTATCGTAGTAAATCTCGCTATTCGCTTAATTAAACTGAATATTTCATGAATCGTATCTTATTACGTCGCTCTTCGAAATATCTTTTCGCAGGTAATATGCATGGAAGAAATTAGCAGGAATTGAGAATATTCTCTGCGAAATAGATTTAATAAGTTCAAACGAAAGCTAGTATTTTTAATTAAATCCAGCCAAGATAATGGAATGCAAACATGCAGATGACAATAAAAATGAAATTATAGGATAAGATGAAAGGAAATTCTTTCTCTCATTTATATATTGAATATTATTTCTACAGGTGGAGATTCAGCGCCGCCAGTATTTTTCCTTGGCGAAGGAACGATTGGAGCCTCTCCTTAATGAAGCTAAACCCGGTATACTAGGTAAGGACATTATTAAAAATAATCGATCAATTTGCACAAATAAAAAGAAACTTTGAAAGAAAAACTTGCGAAAGAAATTAATAATTAAGCACTGAGAAAAATTCTAAATTCATCGTTGATTTTTCATAAGAGATCCCCATTTGTCAGGTCCATTAGAATTACGCGAACTCACTCTCGGCGAACAAACACCGTGCATCACTCGCGTGAGAACACTCGATTGCTGCAGCGACGATGACCTTCCCAGTGGACATCATTCCGGCCAAGCTAAACTATCCATCGAAGCCGACGTGCGGTTGGACTGCGAGCAGTTCCGCATGCTCATCACCACGCGGCTGTTTGGTAAAGGGTGAGAGACAGATGAAATCTTTGCTATTAATAATTCTACAAAATTATCTCTGTATTTTATCATAATTTTACGCAAATATTGTTTTATCTTTTGCATTTTCGTTATTCATAATTTTGCTGTAATTATTTAGTCAACATTGATTTTATATATAGAATGTTCCTTTTTCCTTTTTTATTCTGAATCACTCTAAATTATTTTTAATTGCGGAAAAATGAGCTATCATAGCTAAATTTGAGCTATAATAATATTTTTGCTAATATTTTTAGCTACGCAGAAAGAATTTTCTTGTAGAATTTATCCTGAAAAACATTATTATATGTATGTAGTAAAGAGTGTCTCTGATTAATATTTATATCAATAAAAATATTAACATTTACCACAATATATTCGACTAATTTTACTATATATGTACGTATTAATATTTTTCTTGTGGTAAATATTAATCGGAGAAACCCTTATAAAATTCTTCCATATCATATATTGTCCTATGACTTTCAAGATAAATTCTAAAAGAAAATTCTCTTAGTGTATAGAGAGTTCTTCGTTAAACTATAGCTAAAATATTAGTTAATTCCCACAATTAAAATTTAGATATGATAGCTAAATTTTAGACTGTAATATAGGACTAGCGAAAATTTAGCTACGGTGACAAACCTTTTCATATGATTCATCACTATCGCGCGATTCCTAAATTAATTTTCTGTCTAAAAATTGCATAAATGCGTTTTTAAAAATAAATACCTCGTGATAGCGTGGGGATGGACATTGATCTGGCGGTGGAAAAGCTGTCGTTATCTGGCACGATTGTCATCGATCTAACGTTAAACACGTCGGCACCTTTTCCGCACGCGACCGGGCTCAGCGTGAGTTTCCTGGAAAAACCGGATGTCTGGTTCAGCGTAAGAATTCTGCGAGCGGTGCAGATGATGGAGATGCCATTGATCAAGACCTGGATTCACGCGGTGGTCACGGATGCCCTGGCCAGCTGGCTGGTCGACCCGGGTCATCTGGAAGTAAATTTAAGGGCGCGTGAGCGACCGGGTCCTGGACTGGATTCCGTGACCAATTCCATACCACAAGGAGTGCTCACCGTTGTTCTGTGCCAGAATGGTTGTGCCGGTAAATATTTCTTTAAAAAGATCCCTTATTTACTATACAGGGTGTCTCAAACTCAAAATTAATAGTAACTTGTTAATGCAGATTCCTGGGATTATTCAAAGACGAAAATTATTTTCTTCAGTTAAATTTCGAGGGAGACTATCGTTTCTTGCGCGTTCCGAATTTTTGCCATCATGTATCTTCGTAATTAAGTCTTAAATTAAAATTCTATTAAAGTAAACTTAACATGAAATTAATAAAAGAATGTGATTTTGTTAATATTTTATTTCCATAAGGCTTAGTTTGCGAATAACCCTTATTTTCAATCGCTTATAACTCGAAAATTATTGATGCCTCGACATTTTCGTTGAGGAAAAATCGTCTCTAAATTATCCCAGGAATCTGCCATTTACAGGTTTACTACTAGTTCTGGGACATTCTGTATTTATTAAATTATAATTATTCGTATTTTTAAAGAACTAAACCGATGAGAATTCTTCTTTCTTCATTTTACATGTATATATCAAAGTGAAAATTGAAAATAGATTAGACTAAAAATTTCAAAACACTCGAAGGTAAAATTTCCTTCTAACATGATCTGAGTATATAATTAAATCGTGCGTTTTACCTTATCGTATTATCGTTAAACACGCAATTGTTATATTGAGATCGACGCATATTATTATGAAGTATCATCATTAATAAAGTTGCTAGAAAGTTCTTAATGAGTCTTTCTCCAGCAAACGTTGCCGATGAGGTGAGATGGCTCGTGGTAACAATAGGCGATCAAAGACGAATCACCTCGAATTTGAGCTCCACGTGGACCGAAGATGTGTCTTTCTTAGTCGGGTCATTGGACAATGAGAGGATCACCATCAAACTGAAAGCAAAACGGCTCGTTAGTACCATCACTTTGGCGCAATTCGAATTGGCATTAGGAGTCTACGATTGGGAGAACTCGCAGATGTAAGCATTGATCGCATTTAATTATACAAGCTATAATTAATGCTACTTTCTTCAGTTTTATGCTATTATTAATATGAAATTAAGTTTTTATCGATCTTTAATATACTCATTAATGCATTTATCTTGATGCAGCGTTGAGACTGTGTTGCAACAGAAGAAACCATCCCGTAATAGCGTTAACATTCCGAATATCAACGCGCGATTAGAATACACTACTCTTCCACATTTGGATCCCGAGTTACCACAGCCAGAATTAATAGCTGATAATATGCATCTTGCAGGTATATATATACATAAAAATAAATTTAATTAATAAGATATTAATTTAAAAATACGGAGAGAAAGTATTATTTTACTCGATCAATTATATATGGATTTATTCAAGTTGGAACGAACATGCTTTTATAAAATATTTTTCCGCGATTATCAATATGAAATATGAAATATTTTCAGTGCCGCGAGACTTTTGCCACAAAGTGCACAAAGCAGGTAAATCTGATTGAGATATCGAGTGACGAATGCGAGTTTGAGCATGGATTTATGTGCAATATTTTTATTGAAACGCGCTATTTAACTAAATGTGTGTACGCTTGATTATTTTATTGCCGAGATATTCATCGGGTAGTAAAGCTTTCAGATATGTCAAGCTTTGTATTTTATCATTCGCTTTGTAGCGTAAAAATTCGTAAAAGTTGTGGATGTATTTTTGTAATAATGACGAATGAGAGGAATTTTAATCTTCATGCATTAATTAATGCGTAATTTTTAGGAGTATTGGTGGTTTACATTCACTCCGCTGACAATCTTAATGGTGACGTTGCACAGTGTAATCCATATTGCATGTTATTCAACAATCGGAAGAAGGTAAAGCCATTTATCTATCGAATATATTTTTACAATATTTGAAGCTACATCCATGTGTGAATTATTGATGTTGTATGGATTTTTAGGTCAAAACAACGCATTATATTCGTTCGACCACGTCCCCGGTTTGGGACTGCAGAGCGCAATTTTTAGTACAGGATTACACTCAAGTATCGCTGAGCTTTGTCATCTATTCATGGAATATAGCGAAATCAGTGGATACGGATATGCTTGGATTAGCGATGCTATCTCTATCTCAGGTAAAATCCAAATAGGTTTTTTTAACAAACTAAATTTAGCGCGTCAAGTTATATAAGATTAATAACCTCCGCAAAATAAGATTAATAACCTGCGATATTAATTTAAATCTGATGTCAATTTAAAATAGATTTATTTATTCTTGCATTAAACTCTTTAATATTACTATTATATTGCGACTGAAAAATAATGTTCTATTAAAGGACACGACGTGGATTGTCAGAAAGGAACTTATACTCAGTGGCTCCAATATTGCTTCTTCCATGACAATCTCCATTCTTTTTATCCTGTCAAAAGCATACAACAAGTGGTTAGCAGTCGCAGAAGCAGCATAGTTCCAACTACGTTGGATGACGAACCAAAAATCAAACGAAACAGTCTACCGTGGATGCAACAGGCTGTAAATTGATTAGAAATCTTGTATTTTTCAGAAAAATGTTCAAAAATATTCACTTAAATTTTTCAAAACATTTTCAGAAATTGTTATTAACGCACAAAGACGTTGATCCCGCTTCCTCCGATATATCGAGTTTACTTTCCACCGGAAGTGGTTTGATGGAAGTGACGCTATTGCGCGCGAAAGATCTCGTTGCGAAGGATCTGAATGGTTTCAGCGATCCTTTCTGCGAACTGAAACTAAACAACGAGACAAAGTACAAGAGCAGCATAAAGAAGAAGACGCTGAATCCTTGCTGGGACGAGAGTTCTATCATGGGTTTGCCGAAGACCGGAGAAGCTTTAGATATCGTAATTTTATATATTTCTTTTTTCGCTAAAATTGTCATTAGAAGAATAAAGGAGCTGACATTATTAATCGGTTACAGGTATTATGGGATCATGATACTTTGGCATGAAGGACTACCTTGGGAAAGTATCATTGACTCTCGATGATATCAGAAAGCTATCAAAAAGCGATCAGTCCATTGGTTTTCGCTCAGAGAAACCAAAACGGGATCTATAGAGCTGAAAATTAGGTCTTATCGGAAAGAATGCGAGGTAACGAGCTTATATCATATTTTTATTGTGCTATTTTATTGTTTT